TGCTACAGCTGGCTCTGGACGTGTGTGCTACAGTTGGCTCTGGGCGTGTGTGCTACAGCTGGCTCTGGGCGTGTGTGCTACAGCTGGCTCTGGACGTGTGTGCTACAGCTGGCTCTGGACTTGTGTGCTACAGCTGGCTCTGGACGTGTGTATAAGTTTGCGGAGCGTATTTTAATATATACTACAATGTTACTCTTGCCTAACCCGGGAACGACTTTCTAATAGTCTGTAGTATTTTCCCCTCAGAGAAAATATATCAATTATTTACGAAAAATATAACCAGTTTTCCGGTAAACGTATTCAACGTATTATTGTAACACATTATTGTGACGTGTTGTGTTACTAAGTTCGTCTCCAATTGCGTAAGTCTCTCTACTAGAAAATAAGAGGTTATACAATGAGCTCGATCACGCGTCCATGTTCTTGCGAGTCCAATGTGCAATCTCCTTTATCTAGGGCGTTTAAAGCATCATTTCTGTCATTATTGGTAATATCAGGATGCCTTGGAGTATTTTATGTCGAAGTATATAATGGCAGACAATCTATAATCTTCTCTAATCAAAGGTGGCGATGGGTCTTGGCTATATCTTAGCCAATCACGTGTGAGTGGCCGCGATAATGATTGTATTGGCTGCATCATCAGAAGAAAGGAGCTGGAACCAATTTGAGGAGAGCATTAAGTTTCTCTGAGAACGCCATGACTGGCTATAACAGATTCATATTAGACTTGGGAGTCTTGAAACTCTGGTGGGTTTAGTGTGACTGTCAACTGGAAGAACATTTGTGTAGTGAAGGTAGGTGGATGTGCTGAGCAGTCGTGGAGGCAGGTGGTTGCACTGAGCAGTCGTGGAGGCAGGTGGATGTGCTGAGCAGTCGTGGAGGCAGGTGGATGTGCTGAGCAGTCGTGGAGGCAGGTGGATGTGCTGAGCAGTCGTGGAGGCAACTGGTTATTAAAAACTCGTGCAGCGATACTACCTCACTCCCTGCAGCATTTCACTGAGACAATGAAAAAAAAGCAGGAAGAATGACAGCGACGCGAAGCTGAGTCTCATGGAGTCTCATCTTGATGTGCGCTCATCTAAGCATTCCACCTGCCGACGGACGTACGTGTGTGTGTGTACTCACCAAGTTGTGTTTGCGGGGGTTAAGCTCAGGCTCTTTGGTCCCTCTGTGATAGTTCCAGAAGCCCCCTAGCCACGGAGAAGAACAAGAGCTCTGGCTTTTCGGTGTGTGTGTGTGTGTGTGTGTGTGTGTGTGTGTGTGTGTGTGTGTGTGTGTGTGTGTGTGTGTGTGTGTGTGTAGCGGAAACTATTCCCTACAGTCAAGGAATGAGCCAGGAAGTTCCTCTTCTTGGAACTGCGCTTCAGTGAAAGTGAGACAAATTCATTAGGAATTTAATGCAATGGAGAAATCTGCCTCTTCTCTCGATCTGCCACCCCGTAAAAAAAATACGTATACGCTGTCACTAATGTACATCACTAATATACACGCTGTCACTAATATACACAAAGTTCGAGCCCATTAGAGACAAAATCCGTGTCGATGCAAGACAAAACTTCAAACCATTACCAAGAAACATGCACTTAAACCCACCCAGTCTTTGAGTAAATTGAGCAAAAATCTGGTCACCTATTGAATTGATAGGCAATTGTCTTCCCCTCCTCCCCCTCCCCACCACCACCACCACAACCCCACTTCTTCCCCCACCACCGCCGGATCCGGTGCTTCGGCCATCCGGTACCGGGTCACAAGGGCGATAATACTGAACCGGTGAAGCGCGCCAACTCGACCTTACGGTCTGGTGTGGAATATAAGGATAGGAGGGGGGGGGAAGGGGAGGCACTCACGGCAATAATGTCTGCTGCACCGGCAGTTATTTTGTACCTTAATTACTGCCGTATGTATCACGACGGCAACACTTGTGATTAGACGCACGTTAAGGGTCGATGAAGGTGTTAAGAGCCTGTTCACAAGACGGCCTGGCTGTGACTCCAGTGAGAGGGGTGGGGGTGGGGGGGTGGGGGGGGGTTTAAATTGGGTCCGTCACATCAATATTACCCGGAACGTTGGCGATTATCATCCTGCCTTGAAATGGCTTCCTAAGGGCTTTCAATCTCGATATAAATGGAACTGCAATTTGCGAATTAAGCGACATACGTTTAAAACAAATACGCTTGACTGGTAGAGAAATAATTACCTCCGAAGATTAATTACTGTTCACTTAATTAAAACATTTGCTATAAGTTGTGTTTTGTGGATTTTAATAAGAAATCAGGTATATAAAACTATTCTCGTGTATAAAAGCTCAGGGCGAAAATGAATATCAGTGCCTTTCCCAACCCAATTATCCTAAAAGAAAATCTGAACACGTAAACAAAAGCCGAGCAATACATCCTTCACAGGCTGCTGCTGCTGCTGGAAATTCAATGAGTCTTTCGTGCTCCCTGAACGCCAAGGAAATGCAAAAATGCTGTTTCCAGCAGCCGCGAGACTCCGACAAGCAAACTAATTTTCCAGACTGTTAAGTCTCGTGTCTGCCGCAACTCATTTTTCCCCCATTCCAGGAGTGTTTAGAGTGGTTGAAGGGGGGGGGGGCGTACCCATTCCAGTATTGTTTATAGAAGTTGAGGGGGAGGGCATACCTATTCCAGGACTGTTTTTAAAGGGTTGGCCGAAGATTGCTCCCCCATTCCATGACTATTTATAGGGGGCTGAGAGACGGCTTTCCAATTTCGGGACAATATCAAGAAAATGAAGGGAGAGTGATCCCTTTTCCACGACTGTTTAGACGGGTTGATGAATGTCCATCCAGCACAGTCCTTCCACAACCAGAGACCCCTTATTAGCATAGGGTGGGTCTAGAAGACTCAAACTGTCTCCACATAGGGGCAACTTGGAGAAATTCTAGCGTGACCTTAAACCCAGAGGTTCCTCCATTACTTCAAGTTAGTTATTAACGAGGCTCTTAAACTCTGGAGCTCGCTCCGACGCCAGACCAAAACGATAAAACACTAAGACTCACTGGGCCTTCCTAGCAAGACTTGGCCCGCCACCACAGAGCGGCTGGGAGGTAGTGGTGAGAATGCTTTAACACACACACACACACACACACACACACACACACACACACACACACACACACACACACACACACACACACACACGCACACACAACCTGTTTTAACCTGTTGATTGACGGTTGAGAGGCGGGACCAAAGAGCCAGAGCTCAACCCCCGCAAGCACAACTAGGTGAGTAGGTGAGTACACACACACACACACACACACACACACACACACACACACACACACACACACACACACACACACACACACACACACACACACACATCACGGGTATTAATAATGATAATCAAGGAGGTTGGGATAATGTCGCGTGTAATCCGATTCCAGGCACGTACAGGATTACCAAGCTGACAGAATAATGGAAATTTATCCCATTCCAAGCACAGCCTAGAATCACACCCCCAGGCTGGAATACTAGGGGGGCTGGCGGGTTGTTCCTGTGCATTCCAGCGAAAGAGTGGACACTATTAACCGACTGAAGACACCACAGTGATATATCTTTCCCCCTGAACAAAACGAAAATGGTCCTTGTTTTATGGAAACATTGATAATCGGTTTTTTTTCTGGATATAATATTAATACCCGGTATTCCATATATATAATATTGGTACCTGGTATTCCGAATACGGTATTGGTACCTGGTATGTATTGTTCTGAGTGTTACAACTTCGTGACCCAAAGGTGTCTACGATTAAGGACCTGGATCAAGAGAGAATTATGGAGAGGCTGCCGCATTACTCTGAGTAATTACACTGCATAAACTATTGCTCGTTTCAGGCCAACTGCACTCGAGTATACTTCAGGTAAACCCTACATGACACGGTGGGAGCCGAGGTAAAGGGGGGGGAGGGTAAACAACGTATAAGAGGAATACCCATAAACTGGTAAACTTGGGTAAGGTATCAGGTTAAGTCAGGAGAGGCAAGGATGGGGAAACTCACCTGTCACCTCCCTCAATGTGAGGAGTGACAAGTGGGAGAATATCACCAGTGGCACTCAGGGAGGTACAGAACATCGCCACTGTCACTCAGGGAGGTACACAACATCACCAGTGGCACTCAGGGAGGTACAGAACATCACCAGTGGCACTCAGGGAGGTACACAACATCACCAGTGGCACTCAGGGAGGTACAGAACATCACCAATGGCACTCAGGGAGGTACAGAACATCACCAGTGGCACTCAGGGAGGTACATAACATCACCAGTGGCACTCAGGGAGGTACAGAACATCACCAGTGGCACTCAGGGAGGTACAGAACATCACCAGTGGCACTCAGGGAGGTACAGAACATCACCAGTGGCACTCAGGGAGGTACAGAAGATCACCAGTGGCACTCAGGGAGGTACAGAACATCACCAATGGCACTCAGGGAGGTACAGAACATCACCAGTGGCACTCAGGGAGGTACAGAACATCACCAGTGGCACTCAGGGAGGTACAGAACATCACCAGTGGCACTCAGGGAGGTACAGAACATCACCAGTGGCACTCAGGGAGGTACAGAACATCACCAGTGGCACTCAGGGAGGTACAGAACATCACCAATGGCACTCAGGGAGGTACAGAACATCACCAGTGGCACTCAGAGAGGTACAGAACATCACCAGTGGCACTCAGGGAGGTACAGAACATCACCAGTGGCACTCAGGGAGGTACAGAACATCACCAATGGCACTCAAAACTACATTTTTACAACTGTTAATTAATGGTAAACAAAGCACTACTCTCGGTGAAAGGGGTGAACCGGTCGTCGGGAATGTGGAAGTAGGAAATTAAGACAAGAGCGAAAGGAATGAAGCAGGGAAGGAGGATACTAAGGAATAAAAAAAAAACAAGGGAAGGGGAGCTTGATTGTCGAAGAGACGAGGATATTAAAATGAGAGCGAAGTCATTACATCTGAAATAATCATACATTAATAATTACAGCACACGACCATTCCTGACCCTCATTAATCTTGGAAACCAAGAAGCAAGGCGAATCTATAGGGACCAATAAAACACTCCCATACGACAGGATCCCGAAAAAGGGGGTAATAGACAGGCAGCCATAACTGTCCCTTACGACAGTTAGTAGAAATAATTCCACTCTTACGAGTGACATTGGACTTACCGGTATGTGTACGTTGGTGGGCCTTGAGATGCGAGGACTTGGTGTAGACTTTCTTGCAGCCTGGGAAGAGACACTTGTGCACCCGCCGCTTGGCATCCGGGGAGGTGTCTGCCGCCCGCGGGTGCACGCCCACACTCATCCCTCGCACGCCCATAGTTAGGCTACTGCTGTTGTTGCTGCTACTCGTCTTGAGGGGCAAGGAGGTGGCGAAGGAGATAAACTTTGGCACTTGTGAGCGGGCGTGAACCTTGAGGAGTGTGTGGGTGTGTGTGACAGGCGAGGTCTCCGGGGAGGAGGGTGGGGTCAGTGTGGCGATGTTGGGCGCCGATTTGGCCGTCAGGAGTTTCGTCGCGCCGAAGAACGACGTGCTGGAGCCTCGTCGCGCACCGGATTCCAGCCGCGCGTCCGTCACCATGTCTTCGGACGACGCCCACGAGACGAGCGAGCGCCCGCGGGTAGGGCTCTGGTCGCCCACACTGACCGGAGCATCGAGGTCGCCCTCCAAGGAGGCGAGGGAGGAGGCGGAGGAGGAGGAAGAGGACACTGACACAGAATCTAAGGATCGTTCTGAACCACAGAGGTCGTCCTGACTTAAGGGGTCATCGAGGTCCTCCAAGGGTTCGTCCTTGACGATTACCTCATCGTCCAGAGGCTCGGTCTTTTCGCAAGCGTCGTGGTCAAAGTTTTCCCGCTTAATGTTCAGCTCGGCGTTGAGGGTCTCGGCCTTGACCTTCACCAGGAGGCGGGAGTTGCGCCCGCCCTTGAGGGGTCTGGTGAGCTTGTAGATACGCAGGGGCTGCGCGGAGGAGTCGTGGCCGCAGTCCTCGTAGAAGGCCTGCCAGGGGGTGTCGACCTCACAGCTGCCAAGCTTGCGGCCGCCGCCCTTCACCCGAGGCTCGTCCTTCAGGTAACGGTCCATCTCGTAACAGTTCTGCAAGTATGGAAACTCAATTAGACTCGCTACTATGGTAACATTATTCAATATTGACATATATGTAGTTCTGCATCACCCACAACAAACATGAAATTTGCAGCAATGAAGCAGACACTTTACACAAGTTACTTTTTATATGAAGAAGATATATATATATATATATATATATATATATATATATATATATATATATATATATATATATATATATATATATATATATATAAACAAAAAAGAGCAAGTGACCAAGGAGGCATTTCCTGATTTCCAATTATGTCTAACTAGCTGGGTGCAGACCGTTGCTCGGGTGACGGAGGCCGCATCTACACTACACACGACCTTCACTCCTGATTGTGGCCACACAATACGGCACAGACAGGAAACGGCACGGAAGACATCAACCCGACTTGAATTGACCCACCACCACCACCACAATCAGACAATCCGGAGAAAAAAGGACATAATCTGAACCTATTGAACGAAATTCTAAACACAATCGCAGCCCATGTTGCTGTTCTTTTTTTATCCAGGGAGTTACTCCATGACTCTAAGAGATCCGTCAATATATTGTTTACATCACGCGTGACGTTGCTGTTACAGTGCTCACGGTCGTCTTCCAAGGCCACTCGGCATTCAATCCCCACCCCCGTCCAAGTGGTTGGGCACCATTCCTTCCCTCCCACGTCCCTATCCCAAATCCTTATCCTGACCCCTTCCCAGTGCTATGTAGTCGTAATGGCTTGGCGCTTTCCCTCTGATAGTGCCCTTCCCTTCCGTCTATACAACAACAACACGCCTGCGAAAGATTACTAATTATCTTATACAATCTCATTTAAATGATGCCTCGGGTGTACTGAGCATTAAGGAAATGTGTTAGTGGGTTGAGTGTGTGTGTGTGTGTGTACGTCAGCGCACGATGGCACGCGCATGTTCAGTACGCGCTTGTGTATGTGTGTGTGTGTGTGTGTGTGTGTGTGTGTGTGTGTGTGTGTGTGTGTGTGTGTGTGTGTGTGTGTGTGTGTGTGTGTGTGTGTGTGTGTGTGTGAGCAGGTAAAAATACAACTTGAAAAGGGCAGGTGGGGTATGGTTAGTATGCTGGTAAGCGCCTTCACCGGCTTGGGCGGCGTGGCCAGCTGCTCCTGCCCTGGCCAAGGTCACTCCTCCACCATCCTCAGCACACAGTACCCACACTGCTACCATCATCCTCAGTACACAGTACACATACTACCACCATCCGCAGCACACAGTACACACACTACCACCATCCTCAGCACACAGTACACACACACTACCACCATCCAGACAAGACTACAGCATACAAACATACACAAATGTGCGCATACAAAATAACGTTTATGCGCGCACACACACGCAAAGGCCAACATAAGAACTGCCTTTAGGAACTTGTGTAAGGAATCGTTCAGGACCTTCTATACCACTTATGTCAGACTAATCCTGGAGTATGCAGCTCCAGCTTAGATTCCATACTTAGTTAAACACAAGACAAAGAGAACAATGAGAGGTATGCCACCAGACTAGTCCTAGAACTAAAGGGTATGAGCTACTAGGAAAGGTTACGGGAGCTAAACTTCACGTATCTGGAAGACAGACGAGTAAAGGGAGACATGATAACCACCTACAAAATTCCCGAGGGAGTTGACAGGATGGACAAAAATAAACTAGTTAGCACGGGTGGAACACGAATAAGGAGACAGGTGGAAACTAAGTACCCAAATGAGCCACAGGGACGTTAGAAATAACTTTTTCAGTATCGAAGTAGTTAACAGATGGAATACGTTAGGCAGTGATGTGGTGGAGGCTGACTCCATACACAGTTTCAAATGTAGATATGATAGAGCCCAAAAGGCTGAGGAATCTGTACACCAGTTGATTGACAGTTGAGAGGCGGGACCAAAGAGCCAAAGCTCAACTCCCGTAAGCCCAACTAGGTGAGTACACACACACACATAGACACACACACACACACAGACACAGACACACACACACACACACACACACACATACACACACACACACACACACACACACACACACACACACACACACACACACACACAGGTGATCAGGTGACAAAGATTAAGCAAGAAAGAGAAGGATGGGCGGACTGCATTTTTTTGGACTGTCGAAAAGCCTTTGGCACAGTACCCCATAAAAGGTTGATGCATAAACTGGAGAAACAGGCAGGAGTAACTGGTAGGGCGCTCCAGTGGATAAGGGAGTACCTAAGCAATAGGAAGCAGAGAGTTATAGGGAGGGGTGAGACCTCAGAATGGCGTGAAGTCACCAGTGGAGTCCCACAGGGCTCTCTGCTTGGACCTATCCTTTTTCTGATATACGTAAAGGATCTCCCAGAGGGTATAGACTCATTCCTCTCAATGTTTGCTGATGACGCCAAAATTATGAGAAGGATTAAGACAGAAGAGGACAGCTTGAGGCTTCAAGAAGACCTGGACAAGCTGCAGGAATGGTCGAACAAATGGATGTTAGAGTTTAACCCAAGCAAATGTAATGTAATGAAGATAGGGGTAGGAAGCAGGAGACCAGATACAAGGTATCACTTGGGAGATGAAATACTTCAAGAGTCAGAGAGAAAGAAAGACCTGGGGGTTGATATCACGCCAGACCTGTCCCCTGAAGCTCATATCAAGAGGATAACATCAGCAGCATATGCCAGGTTGGCTAACATAAGAACGGCCTTTAGACACTTGTGTAAGGAATCTTTCAGAACATTATATACCACATATGTCAGACCAATCCTGGAGTATGCGGCTCCAGCATGGAGTCCATATCTAGTCAAGCATAAGACTAAACTGGAAAAGGTTCAAAGGTTTGCCACCAGACTAGTACCGAGCTGAGAGGTATGAGCTACGAGGAGAGACTACGAGAATTGAACCTCACTTCGTTGGAAGACAGAAGAGTTAGGGGGGACATGATCACCACATTCAAGATTCTCAAGGGAATCGACAGGGTTGATAAAGATAGGTTATTTAACACAAGGGGCACACGCACTAGGGGACACAGGTGGAAACTGAGTGCCCAAATGAGCCACGGAGATATTAGAAAGAACTTTTTTAGTGTCAGAGTAGTTGACAAATGGAATGCATTAGGAAGTGATGTGGTGGAGGCTGACTCCATACACAGTTTCAAGTGTAGATATGATAGAGCCCAATAGGCTCAGGAACCTGTACACCTGTTGATTGACGGTTGAGAGGCGGGACCAAAGAGCCAGAGCTCAACCCCCGCAAGCACAACTAGGTGAGTACACACACACACAAGGTCTCGCGGCTGGGTGGATAGCGCTCGGGGTTAAGGGCTCGGGTTCGATTCCCAGCAGAGGAAGAAACAAATGGCTAGTTTACTTCACCTGACGCGTCTGTTCACCAAGCAGAAAACAGGTGAACTAGGAGTTAGATAGCTGCTAAGGGCTGCTACCTGGGGATGTGTGTTAATGAGATAAATATTTAGAGGATATGAAAGAAAAATAGGTCGGGAGTCAGTACATTAGACAACCGACGGTTAGAAAGGCGGGGTCCAAGAGCTAACACCTCGATCCTGCAGGCAAAAATACTAAACACACACACACACACACACACACACACACACACACAAACACACACACACACACACACACACACCTGAAAACTAACTCCAAAACATACATTTTTTTTTTAAGAAATATGCAACGAGGTTCGTTCCCGAGTTAAAGGACCTAATATTACGAGGATGAAGTAAAGGAAATGGACTTCACTACCCAGGAGACGAAGAGGTGGTGGCCGGGTACACGATAACGACATATAAGGTTTTTATCGTGAAATCGCAAAGAAGGCAAAGAAGGAATTGTTAGAGACCGTATTGGCGGGGAATTAGTCAGATTAGTCACGGAGATGTCAGAAAGAACTTCACTTATAGACAACTCTAACTTTGGACTGGGCTAGACGAAGGAGTGGCTGACGCTAACTACAGTTTCAAATGTAAACATTAGAAAAAAAGCGAGAGACTTGAGTCATTGTATAAAACTACACAATATTTGAAAAGCGAGGCCAGGTGAACGGTGGAAGAGCCTTCAAGGGGAGAGAAGGGGGGTGGAAGAGCTTTCAAGAGGAGAGAAGTGGTGGAAGAGCTTTCAAGGGGAGAGGAGTGGGGTGTGGGGGGGGGGGGTGAGGGGACACCTGCGATCACTCATGCACTAACTCGATTAAGGTCAAGTTTTTCAGACAACGCAGAAAGTTTGCTGCGTCCGAACTTGGGTCTCGAGTTAGGAAAGGGGGGGGGGGGAGAGAGAGAGCTGGCACAGCGGGGAGACAGAAAGAGCGACAGGTATATGTTTCTTGTTTACAGATCAGGATCTCAGTTGAAGTGTTTACGTTAACCTGGCAATGGTTTCAAGGGTTCTCTCCGGTGTGAATGGTGCCTGATTGGTGACCCTGGAATGTGTTGAGCTCGGCTGTAATGATCAGCGATATGAGAGAGAGAGAGAGAGAGAGAGAGAGAGAGAGAGAGAGAGAGAGAGAGAGAGAGAGAGAGAGAGAGAGAGAGAGAGAGAGAGAGAGAGAGAGAGAGAGAGAGAGATTCGCTGTAGCGCAATGCATGCCTCCCTCTACGGTCGTACAAGCTGTTTTTTTTTTTATTATTATTATTCTATCACAGACGTGGCCACACATTTACAATGCTAACCAGCATATATTCATTTTCTTCTGTCCTCCATGGACAGGGTTAGAGAAATGTTAAACATAGAGTTCAAGGGTTTATTGAACACTCAACCACAGAAGGTGATTCGGTGCTTTTAAAATGCTAAGCTAACCTACATAACAAGCTGTGATCGATGCAATTACGCATTCGTAAACGTTAGCGTGTTGTGTGACCAAAACTATACTTTCACGAATACATATTAATATGAATGTATATAATACTTAAATGTACACGTAGACCTGGGATAGGTTTGGTTATATGTTTTGTTTCTGTTGGCGATTCAAATA